TGTAAGGCAGAAATCCTTGTCCCTCTGGATTACTGGTGTGTTCCAGATACTTGGATGTCTGGATTACTGGTGTGTTCCAGATACTCGGGTGTCTTGAGATAAGATAGGACCAAAAGCCAGGCACAGTGGCACATGCCTGTAATCACGGCTCTCTGAGAGGCTGAGGCAGGAGGATTGCAAGTTTAAGCCTAGCGTGGGCAACTCAGTGAGACTCTGCCTTAAAAGAAAGGCTGGGGATGTAATTTCATGGGAAGGACTGTAGTTCAGCCTCCGTCCTGCAAAATAAATAAACAAGCACTAAAAGGGAAAGCAGAATTGGAAAGAGAACTGAGTGTCTAATCAAGTATAATATTTTAACATCCTCCTCAAATGAACCTACGGTGGAACAGTCATTGCTATAACTTTTCTGGTAAGATGCAGACAGATTTAAAACATTCCCTGTCATGTATGAAATCAGTCACTAATCTGAATGAAATGCAGAAAGAATGTATTTTGTCTCTCTTTTCATTTTTAGGCAAGAGTAAATATATATCGATAGGCTTCTACCCAGTTACGTCACATGTTTAAAGGTGACTGCCAAAAAAAATGGTAATAAAGATAATTTGTCAATCCTGCAAGTGTATTAATTTCCTGCTCCTTTAAAGGAGGTGTGCATATTACTCAGACTTGATGAGCCGTTTTAATTCTTTTTAATCATTGTTCCTTGGCATTGAAATTGCCTGGATAATCAGGCACGGGTGTTGTTTTGGTACACGTATACTTCGATGGTGATCAGATCAGGATAATTGGCATATCAACTGCACTCCAAGCAGCTTGGAAAGATGCAGTCCATTGCTGCCAGCTGCAGCCGCCCACTGTCCATCTGTAACTCGGTGCCCACTGACAGCCTCTTCCGGCCCTCCTCCTGCTCTCCCTGTCCAGCCCCTGCAACCTTGCCCTGTCCACTTCAGTGACATTGACTCCTGGTGTCTGCATGAGTGAGACCAGCAGTGTGTGTCTTTCTGTTTCCGGCTTGTTTTATTTTGCATAATGGTCTTCTATGTCACTGCGAGTGGCAGGGTTTCATCTTTTTGTGGCTAGATAGTACTGTACTCCACTTGCTCATAGAAAGATAGATAGATAGATAGATAGTGTCTGTTTACCTTATCTGCACATTAGAGGACTGGCATTTAGGTTGAGTCGCCTCTTGGTTATAATGGATTGTTATAAATGTTAAACTTCACAAACAGGGACCGCAGCTCTCTGTCTGACACCTTAGCTTCATCTTTGGTTGCACACCCAGCAGTGGGATTGCTGGTTTGCAGCATGGTCGTTTTCACTATTTTGAGCCCCGCCCCATACACTTGTCCTGATACTAATTCAAATTCCCACCACTCGTGTGTAAGGATTCGTGTTTCTCTGTATCCCAGCAAACACCCGACAAGCCAACACCAAGTCATCCACAGCACTGCAGCCAGATCCTGGCTGTAAGTTACAATGGGAAACACACAGTTGGGACGATGAGTCGGTAACTGTTCTTAAGAGGGAGTTGGGGGATCTCAGCCAGCTGCTGTGTCCTCGAATGGGGTCAGTGCTGGCAGAAACAGAGAGAAGCCGGACAGAGATGGAGAGGCCCTGATGGCAGAAGGTGGAGTGAAGTGTAAGGAAGACAGAAAGTATGGGCTTTGGTAGCTTTTCATCACTAACTGAATACCTGAGAAAGTCAGCCTAAAAAGGAAAGATTTATTCTGGCTTACGATTTCAGAGGTTCAGTCCATGGTTGCCGGATTCATTGTTCACAGCCTGATGCGAACATAAAGAAATGGGGAGAGGGAAATGCTAATTACCTTGATTTGATTAACGCAGGCTGTGTGCATATGTTGAAATATCACACCTAAGCCTGGTAAAATGTAAAAGTAACGCAGGTTAATAGAAAGGTAAAAGAATTGATTTGGGGGAATTTTTCCTAAAGATTTCTAATATTTCTTTCGTGTGTTCTACAGATCTGAAGCAGAGAGCTGTGGCCAGTGAGCTAAGTGGAGTTAAGCTGTGTAATTTAAATCAGGCGTCTTCTTAGGCACAAGAATACGTCAGACAGTATGAGACATAAATCTCATGTCTCAACACTTCCTGAGGTTTCATTAATCAGGGCCGCAGTCACTGGCTGGACTCGACTCCTTTCAAGTGGTATCCAGATAATTTGGATTTTATTGTACCTGCGCGTTGTAATTCTCAGAGTTCATTCCCAATTCTAGCCCCAAGGAGTTAATTTATCTTTTCCTGGGTGAGACAGGCCCCTGGATTTGCCAGTGTGTCCAGTGACTGCAGTCACCGAAGGGTGTGTTCCCAGCCACAGTGTAAGAACTGTTTTCTTTCCCAGCATCTCGGAGGGCAGAATCTGTAGCCGCAGAGGTGTGGAAGCATATTGGGCCCAATGTACGCAAAAACAAGTGTAAATTGTGAAACTCGAATTCACCACAATTAAAATAAACAGTGGAGCTGAAGTCAAAGAAGCACCGTTTGTGCCCTGGAGAGAGAGGACGTGTGCAGAGCCCTTGGCGGGTGGCTCCCTGCCCGCCCAGTCCCATCCAGTGCCCCCCAGGCCGAGCCCTTGTAATCACAGCCAGTGCTGTGGCCTGGAGGGGGTGGCAGGTCCCGGCTGCATGCGTGACATCCCCTGGGGACTTGTGCTGAGCAGAGAAAGGAGTGGCTGGACTTGGAGACTGGAGTCTGAGCTCGGAGGAAATACTTTTGAGACTCATCGCTGAGTAATGTGTGCCTGGGACTCTCAACAATGGAGCTTTCTGTCTGCACAGTCCCAGAACCGGCCGAGTCCACTGAGTGGCTGTGAGCACTGGGGAGCGGGACCAGGGCATTGCGAGCCGAGCCTCAGTCCCCAGAAGCCAGCGGCTGCTCGCAGGCAGCCCCTGCCACCGTCCCCCTGTCCGCGCCTGTACCCCTACCTGCACACCCGCCAACCTCTGCTAGGCTGGGATTGCCACCCGGTTCCCAGCTTCCTGCCAGTTTTCTTCCCCACTTCTGCCTCCGCCTTCGAATCCCCAGGCTGCCACTCAGCCCTTTGGGACCTCTGAGTGTGGGTGCTCTGCGGTCCCCCCTCATCCGGTGGTGGCTGGCCTTTTTCCAGCTGAGACACACCCTAGAGTCATGGATCTCAGCTCTGGGGTGACACGTGACTGCATACCAGGCCATCCCGAGGTGTTGGCTTCAACATCACGTATTATTTTTTTCCTCGCAAGCAAGGGTTAAGGTTAGGGTTACTACCCCTAAACTGGCCCAGGGTAGGCGGACCTTGGCTCTGGGCCTGGTTTACATTGCTCAGCTCGGGGGTCTGGTTCTGGGGCAGCAGCTTCCAGGCACCCTGGGAGGACAGTACAGATCAGGTGCCTCTTTAGACCTCGGCTCAGAAAGGGCCTGTTGCCCCTTCTATCAAACTGGGTCCCAGGCTGAGCCCGATGTCAGTAGGGTGCAAGGGAGGTGTGGGACGGAGCCAGGGAACAGAGAGCTGGCACTCTGCATGTGTGCCCCTCTGGCCTCTCTCGCTGCACCCAGCAGTACTGGCCCTGGTGCCTGGGGTTGGAGTACCAGAGACTGTGATCCAGGGTGCATTGGGAGCTCTGTAGAGCCTGGCCCATGGGAATGCTGGGTGGTCACGGGTGGGTGCTTCTGTCTCCCAGCTGCCCATGGGGAATGTGCCAGAGGCAGGTGGTGGCCGGGTGTTTGTCATCTGTCACTCGAGCTGGCAGCCCAGCAGCTCCCACCCATAGCACCGTGCACCCCACCAGCCCTGCCCCCCTGAACAATTCCTTTGGACATCCGTGTTTAAAGTTTCAAAGATATTTATGCATTTATTATGGGTCTTTTGAGGCAGGGTCTCAATGTGTAGCCCAGGCTGGCCTGGAACTCAACAGCGATCTTTCTGCCTCGGCCTCCTGAGTGCTGGGGTGACAGGTGTGTGCCACTGCACCTGGTTGAGTTTCAGAGGTATTTAAAAGCTCAACCACCTGAAGTGTTTGGCTGAGAAGATATCAAGAATTTGAGACAACTGAGAGCCAGGGGCAGTGAAGAAGGAAGCCTAGGCCTGCGCTCAAGCCAGTAGTGGGTGGTCAGCACCGGGAGCCCATGGATGGGGCCCTTGGAGCCCCAGCTCTTGTGCTTCGGGGACTTGGGTTATGGGGGGCACAGTCCCATGGCTACAATGCTACATGTTGGTTTGGGAGAGGTGTCTCCCCTTAAACAGCCGTGCGTAGTGCCCTTGGGTATTCCCCATCTGCTGTCCTTTAATGGAGGCTCTTGTGAGGCACTGGGGACACTCAGAGAGACAAGAGCATGCTTTGGCGTGACGGGACATGACAAGGACCTGGGGCTGCGTGGGGAGGCTGCTGTGCGGAGGACCCTCCCCAGGGCTGCTGTCGTCCTGGCTTCCAGGTCTCTCCGTGCACATCTTCCTGACTGTGCTATTGTTGCTGTCACCCTGAGCTGTCACCCTGCATCCCCTGCTCTGACGGGTGATACTCCCAGGTTCCATCAGCCATGGAGGGTTGCTTTGAAGTCAGCACTCTTGTTTGTGAATATTTTCCTCCATGCTTAAACTTGAGAAACTCCAGCAGGGCCCACATGAGTTCCCCAGGCTCCAAAGCTAGGGCAGAGGCTTAGGTGGAAGGAGCAGCTCTTACCAGTCCACAGCAGCTCGGAACATTAGAAGAAAGGTAACCTCTCCTCCTGGGAGAAGGCCCCGGGCTCCCTGCAGCCCTCCAGGTCCCTGGGAATATGGGCATTCCTGGCAGGTCAAGTGAGGGGGACCTGGGACCCTTTCCAAGAGCACTCATCTCATTCACAAATATTGTTCACGTGGGTCCCATGGCAATCGCTGGTCCTGGGGCTCCACTGTGTTTCCAGATGGAAGCTGCTTCCAAAGATTCAGCCAGGAAGCGCCCATGCAGGGCGCCCGCCCAGGTGGAGGGGACACGGGTGTCCCTTCCTGACCTGCCCCTCTCCCACAGGTATGGAGAGTGCAATCACCCTGTGGCAGTTCCTGTTGCAGCTGCTGCTGGACCAGAAGCACGAGCACCTCATCTGCTGGACCTCCAACGATGGTGAGTTCAAACTCCTCAAGGCGGAGGAGGTGGCCAAGCTGTGGGGCCTCAGGAAGAACAAGACAAACATGAACTACGACAAGCTGAGCAGGGCCCTGCGCTACTACTATGACAAGGTGAGCCCTCAGCCTTGGAGGACTGCATGCGGGGCGGGCGGGACTTCTGTGTCATTGCTGGAAACAGGCGTGGTGAGCTGGGAGCCGAGCTGCACAGTGACTTGAGGCAGGCGAGGCCCTCTCCTCTCCTGGGGCGGGGGATGCTACAGGGGTTTTTAGTTTGTCCTTCTCTGGGTGTCATTACGGACCAGATATTCTTCCAGTGGCTTTTTCACTTGTAGTTTGCCAAAGAACTGAAGAACGCGTTGCTAATGATAGAGATGAGCTGTCGGGGAGCTCTGGGGCCTCCCCACCTGTCCCTCGCTTGAGAAACGGAATGACTAACGGAATGTTAGACTAACGGAATGTTAGTCTAAAAGCGTCTTGGTAGTTTTGTCACAAGGGTCACTTTTTCTTCCTTCCTTCCTAACTTACTTTCCTTCCCTCCTTCCCTCCCTCCCTCCTTTCCTTCCATCCTATCCTCTTTCTTTCTTTTTTTTATGGTGCTTGACATCGATCTGAGTACTGATCTACATCCCCAGCCCCTTTTTACTGTTTCTTTTGAGTCCCTTAATTGCCCAGGCTGAGCTCCAGTTTGTAGTCCTCCTGCCTCAGCCTCTCGGACTGCTGGGATTACAGGTCATGGCTTTTAAACCCACGGATCTTAGTGCCCCGTCCATAAACTGGGAATAATAATAATAATGCTGATAGGATTTGTAGCTTAGCGAGAAGCTTCCCTAATTTTGTTTCTAAATCACAGAGATGCGACACAGCGCTTTGCTAAGTAACGTAGACCCAGTTGCCAAAGACAGAAAAGTTGGAGCGAGTTTAATGCATTTCTGAAGAATAAATAATGGTCCTGCTCTTAGAGCAGAATCGTTGCTCCTCAGGGTTAACCATATCAGGCCTGTAAACGTTGCCCATTTCTGTGTGAGTTGGCTGTTGCTGAATATCGAGCCTCATAGCCAAGAAGGCTGAGAGACCCAATAACCGCACGCTTTTGTTCTGTCTGCTGTTCATATTGAAAGGTGCATTAAACCCTGATTTAAATATTAGGTCCTGATCTATATTTAGTGCCGTCTCTCAGCCAACCTCTTTGGAACTGAAGACACAAGGATTACACATTTCAGGAAGTGAAGACATCATTAATTATAAAGTATTCCTTTATATGATCGTAATTGCATATGATTATGCCATTGAAATGCTAAAGGTGCTTTCCTTTAATGTGGCAATTAATTAATCCTGACTTAATGCAGAGCCCCACCACGACGTAAAAGCACTTCCTGCTAATTGCACTGTCTGGAAGCCAAGCAGATGGCATATTGTTTTGCGTTTCCCCCAGGTTCTTAGTTGCACCCTGGGAATTGGGGCTCTGGAGGGAAAAGAGTCCGTGTTGTCTGTTGTGCCTGCTGGCGGGGTGCCCAGAAGCTTGGTATTTTTCATTGTTCAGAGTCAAGGTGTCAGAGAAAAGAAGTCTTGTTTCTCAGCATGCCTGGGCCGAGGGGCACAGGGTGTGGCTCCGTGGCCATCTTCCGGCTGGACAGAAGTGACCGTGCAGGCCCGCAAAGGCCTTGCTGCCCAGCTCCCTCGCACCTGACTGCAGATCTGCAGAGCTGTGTCCGCCTCGGCAGCTCCCAGCTCCTGTGGCTGCAGCTTCCCGTCAGGTGTCTTAAGATACCAGGCTCCTTTCCACTAGACGCCAACCTGTGAGGCAGGTCCTGGCCTCCGCCCGCTCCTAATGCCAATGAGAACTCAAGACCGAGAAACCTGCTTAGGCTCCTGGGCCAGGGTGTGGCAGAACCTGGATTTCTACCCAGCTGGTCTGCGCCTGCCCCTGCCAATGGCCCAGCTGCCCCCGCCTTCGTCGGTCTTCATTTCCTTTGCCGATGAATATCTTGAGGTTGGCAATCGTGCTGATTTTGTTTATTATCAAGAACTTTAAACCCAGCTGTGGTGGTGCACACTTGGAATCCCAGCATCCTGGAGGCTGAGGCAGGAGGGTCACCACTGTTTCAGAGCCACCCTGAACTATATCTCGAGGCCCTGCCTCGCAACAAAACAAAACAAAACAAGGAATGTCCTTAAGGAATGTGTAAGATTGAAAGACTGTATCAGCCTGTTTTCTGTTGCTATAACAACATACCCAAGGTTGAGTTCGCTGTAAAGAAGGAATACGCGGTGTGGTGGCTTGCACCTGTAAGCCTGGGACTTGGAAGGCTGAAGCAGGACAAACACTGTGAGTTTGAGAGTTCAAGGCCAACCTGGGCTACAAAGTGAGGCCACGGCCAGGCTGAACTGCATAGTGAGACCCTGTCTGTCTCCTCACCCCGCCCAAAATAAATAGAGAGAGAGAGACAGACAGACAGAGAGAGAGAGAGAGAGAGAGAGAGAGAGAGAGAGAGAGAGAGAGAGAATTGGTGTCTATTTAGGAAACTGCTGCAGGGAGTGAGGAGCCATAGTACCACCCAGAAGAGGCCCTGGGCTGGGTCACAACACCAGGGATGGCGTCGTGGCAGGACCATGTGTGACAAGAAGAGGTGACACAGTGAGACAGGAAGCTAAAGAGACCCAGTGCTGGGCTGGCCCTGGTATAACAGCGTCTTTCCCAGGCAGACTGAGGTCCCACAGGACCCGCCTCTCCCAGGGCGGAGGGGCAGGGCAGCAACCCTGGGGGCCTAATTAGTGCACTGGGCTCCTCCCTGGTCCCTAGGGTCCCTCCACCTCCCAGCACCGCCCCAGGGGACCAAGTCGGAGGTCCAGAGAAAAGAAGAGGACGGAGGGGAGGAGAGGGGGGAGGGAGGGATACAGAACAGAGGCTGCAGGAAGCCCGCCCCTCCCTCTTCACTCTGTGGGGCCCACTCTGAGTGTGGCTGGTGTGACTCCAGGATGATGCGTGGTAAACGAAGTGGATCCCGTCACCAATAGCTGGCAGATTTGTCTTCCGTGTGGCCAGAAAAGACAAGCATGGGAATATCGTTCTTTTTATATGTTCTATGGTATATTTTTAGCTCATTCCAGAATTTTTAAAATGGACAGAGAAGAAAAACTGGAAACGTGTGCAGGAGTGCGGGGGACACCAGAGGAGAGGACAGGGTCTGGCTGTGTGGTTCAGACGCCTTGAATTCACTACATACGCAGCCCAGGCTGGCCTCATACTTGAGGCAGTCTTCCTGCCTCAGCCTCCCGAGTGCTGGGATTACAGTTGTGGCACTCCCATTCCTGGCTTCAATCGTCATTTTGACAAATTCAGATTAAGTGCAAAGAAGAAAAGTGAAACCTTCACGCCACACCCCTGGCCTGGGCAGCTGGATGCTGGGGGACCCGCACTGGGAGTGACCGTTCTTTCCCTTAGAAATTGTCAGCAGCCTCTCCTCGTGGCTGGAGATAGAGGACAACAGTTTTTGCCAGGCGCCTATTTCTGTGTATTTAAGCTACTTGGAACTTAACTACTGAGATGCTGTCATATCTCAGGGACACTCCCTGCAGCTGGGAATCAAAGCCTGCCATGTGGCCCTGTGCACCCCAAGTGGGAGGAGCGCCTGGTCTTTCTTTCGCCCCTCAGCGGCTCGAGCGGGCTTTGTATGCAGCCCTGCAGAGGCGGAGCCCAGCCAGCTCAGCCCCTGGAAAGCAGGCAGAGCCAGGGGGGTAGGCGGGTGGGTGTGTGCAGGGTGCCCGGCATGGCATCAGCCCAAGCAGCACGCTGCACAGACACAGGCCATGTTACCCTTGCGTGGATCAGTCCTGCTGTGTCACCTTACCAGTCGCCTGTTTGTGAGGCTGCATCCTCCCCAAACCTCGCTTGTTGCTGGGGCGCCTTCCTCACCTGCTGTCTGGCACACAGGAAATGCTTAACAAAGGCCCAGACACATAAAGTATGGAAGTGGACCCGACTCAAGTGCAAATCAGCTATGTGGGTGAAAGTTACATAAACTTAAGGAAAACCTCACTTCCTTTAGTGATTGTGTTAGATGACCAGGGTGCTGCCGCAGGCTGAGGGTGACTCCAGACACCGGAAGTATGTTCTGTCAGCTCTGGAGCGGGATGCCCAAAGGCAAGGTCCCTGGGGCTGGGTTGCCTCTTCCTGGCTTCTGGTGGTGGCCACAGCTGTGGCACTGTGTGGCTCTGTTTTCCCTTTCCCTCTGTTGCCTCACGAGGCCCAGGCCAAAGCAGCTGGGCAGTTACAGGTGCCCAGAGTGGATGACACCTTCGCTGTGTGGCCCGTGCGGAAATGACAGGCACGGATGGGCTCATTGTGGCATTTTAAAGTGACGTCTACAGGGGGAGCCTCGGAGAGGAGAGGAGCGGAGCCGAGTGTGTGAGTCAGTGAGTCCTGAAAACAAACGGCCCCCAGGATGTTCATGGCAACTGGACTGAGCAACAGAGAGGGTGCTAGGCTCGGTGACACGCCAGGCCCCTGGGGTGGGGGTGAGGGGAAGAAGATGAGGGGAGTCAGAGTCACTGGGAGCCCAGCAGCGCTCTGATCTGGACCCCTAAAGGACTGAAATGGGAAGAAGAGCCGGCCCCGAGGGCCTTAGGCTGGGCTGGCAGAGGCGCCTCGTGCCCTGCGCGCTGCTCTTCTCCGGGCTGCTGTTCCTGGGGCCCGAGGGCTGGGGTTTGCAGCTGAGGGCTCCTCCCGCACGCCGCGCTTTTGAAGGTGCAGGAACGGTGCCTCCCCTGGGTTTCCCCTCCCCTGCCTTCCTTCCTCCTCTTGAACAGCCTTCCCTCCCCTGTCATGGCATCTTTTTTTTAGATTGTGCAGATGAGAGAGGACATGCTGTGTGTCTTTCTGAGTTTGGCTTATTTCCTTAACACGATGGCCTCTTGTCCTGTCGTCCTTTTTGAAGCAAACGACAGCATCTCTTGTTCTTCAGGACAGAGTTGTACACAGCCGTGTGCATGCCCCGCGTCCTCTTCCTCTGCTGGTGGACACCTCGGCTGGCTCCGTGCCCTGGCTGTTACGAGTTGTGCTCCATCAGCGTGGGTATGCAGGGTATGAGAGGGTTTATTTTGTAATGGACTAC